GCAGGAAAATATCATACTAGCAGAGCTAAAGATTTAGGTAGAGCCTTCCTGTACATGTAATTATGCTTTCCCTGCACCACCCCCCCCCAGCAAAAAAAGCCATTGTTACTTTAGAATCCACATTTATAAAACTTTTCTCCACACTGATCCTTCTGGCTTTTTCTGGTGCATCTGTTCTATTGCCTGCAGAACTTTCTGAGAAGTTCACACTTCTGACAAAGTCAGCATAAAATCTCTTTTATTTGTACTTCTTGCTATTATACCATCTGCGCGTAAGACACTGACAAAACCAAAGACACCTATATCTTTTAGAAATTACTACTGACTCATAATGCCCAAGAGGATCTTTTTTGGATTGGAAGAGTGCTGTTGCTTCTCTCCATTTGCAGAATATAATTAAGGACCAATTTTTAACCTTAATGCAATTACTTGTCATAATTCTGACATAAACGTTAGTCAGGTATTTGTTTACAGAGGTTGCAATGCTAATTCCTTCAATAATACATGTTCTATTTTCTCTTTCATATTGCATCCCAGACATAGAATCGCCTCCTTGCAGCTGACTGTCCTTACACACTAACAAATAACACTCCATCTTGTTGCTGCTTAGATTCTTAGATCACAGAAAAGAAAATACTGAAACTGGCATGCTTTACATTTTCCAGCGCCCTTGAGGCTGAAAATGACACCTTGCATAGTGTCAAGCAGAGCATCATTACTTACACTGAGAGATACAGCTTTCAAAATAAAGTCTATTTCAGTAATACCTGAGCTTTGAAACACCTTACTAAAATACAGAGGCAAACGCAAAGAGAACACTGAACATCTCAAAGACCCAATCGTTCTTTGTGCGACTGGCAAAATTCCTGTCAATATCATAGATACAAAAGTAGGCTGATACACTGATATGGGTCAGTTACAGCAGTTTTACCAAAGCGCAATGATCAATCTGTTGATCTCTTTTCTGCATCTGTTGTATTGCATTCTCCCACTGCCTGATGACTTCTTGCCTTTCCTGATGAACTCTGCGAAAATCTTCAGCTGTCTTGTCAAGCTCTATCTGTTTAAAAGAAAGCACCCCCATGATTTGCGATGTTAAAAGTTTCATATATAGCAAGATATCTTCAGGAACCTTAAAAACAAACCTGAGCTGTTATGGTTTCTGTAAGCTCATTATCAAGAGCTCTACGCTTCTGATTTGCTTGCATGGTCAACTTTTCTACTTGAAGGGTTAATGCCTAAAATGAAAGGATATGAAAATATAATGTATTTGAAAACAAATATATAGTGTCTTATAAATTCTTAAAGCTCTGCTATAATTAGGGGTGAAATTACTGAGGCATCAATTTTTTTGTATTTTAGAGAACACAACAAACTGAGAATCCAGCCTCCCAAATTTTTTATCATATAATAGGCCATAATCTCTTGTCAGCCCTTGGGACCAGACCGGAGCTAGGCCGAAGTAACTCTCCAACATGTATAAATGTGCACATGGTGTCCTCAGCACCAGCTATTTCACTCTACTCTTCCTACTATGCTGTGTGACTTGCTAACATAAATTATATCAGTAAGACTGTTTGTGTAAGGTAAAGTTTTTGGGTTAGGTATTTAATGAGTAAAAAATCAATTTTCTCCTCCCTGTATTTAAAGGCTCAAAAGAATATTAACCAAGGATACTTATCTCTAAATTAAGATTATACTTGAGAACTAACCCTTATAAAGTATGAACTTGTGACTGGAGTGTCTATTTATACCATCTTTCATTATTCTAGGCAGCTTTACTGAGATAGCCATAGTAATATTAAGAAGTATTTAGAAATTCAGTTCTAATGGGAAAATCTACACTATTTGTCCATAGTTGGCATGCATTTTTCAACAAACTCCTCTCTTAATTCAGTGGCAGTGTTTCCTAGACTTTATTATCCATTTGTGCACTTTCTCAGAAAACCTCAAACTTTACCCAGATGAACAAACAAATAATGTCTTCAATGATGCCTTTCACCTTTTGTAAAACCTGTTCTCTCTGACCTTTAAAATGAACCTCATATGGAATGGCACTGTTGTGCTAAGTGGAAACCAGTTTAAAAGTGCTGTTGTACAAAATCTTGTCTCCATCTTACCCAACTTGATAACATTACAAAGTCTTCAAATGCTAAAATGCTTCTCTGTTTTGTTTCTGAAAACTGCTGAAAACTGCTGTCATTTCTACTTACTCCTAGTTTCCCTTCATCCTGTTGTGCATACTTCTGGATTGTGATAGCATCATTATCTTTACGATTTGATTCCTTTATCCAGCTCTCCAGAACTTCCTCATCACAGTTCATCTGTTGTTTTAAGTTTTCCAACTTCTTAGTGGTTTTATTTATAGTGTTCTAATAAAATTAGAGGTAAATTAAAGGGTTAATATTAAACATCTAGTATTTTCTTTGAATAGTAATTGAAACAACCAGTTCAAGCTACTGTAACAAGTTTACATACATCTTGTTGTCAACAGAATTGCTAGTTTTCTTTTTTGTTAATTGTGTATTATACTTGAGGAATGCTAATGCACATCCTGATCTTAAAGAAGAAACAAGACAGTAGGTTACCACAAACTTAAAATGCAAATAATTTTAAACAGAATAGTCAACGTCTAGCGAGATACACCTATATGTGGGATATTTATTCCACATAATAAACTGATCTGAGGCATCACATGGTAAAGTTTCTCCCTCACACACTAAGGACCAGTTCTTAGATTCTTATCCTGCATATCAATTTACAAATGGCCCCACGTGAATGTGAAGAGACTTCCCGACACAAATATGAGAGAATCTGGATCCAGGTGAACAGCAAGGATATCTTCATCATGCTACCCATTCTGAGAGACCAGAGATTACAAACAGACTTAACGAGAAGAGAGCAAATAAAAATAAATAAATGTAATTTAAATTATATGTAGAAAAAAAAAAAAGAGACAGTTCCATTAAACGGAAAACTGTCTGTAATTAGATCGCATTAGATAACTTTTTTTTTTTTAATTTAAAGCAAATTTTTGATCTTGAAATCATGCCCCAAGTTTATTTTATGTGGGGAAGACAACTTGCCAACAACAATTTAATTTTTAAACCATCAAGAAAATACCTGCGACAATTAACAAGATGGCGATACAGATGTGTGGCTGTGTATCTGGCATTAAGAACATGAAGAACTGCAGTCTTTCAATATCTATTTAATATTTGCTAAGTTTTGACCAGTCTATGCAAGGAGATCCTCAGTGTCACTCTACTTACCTACACAGGGAAAAGTACATCCAGATCATTAATTATAGTATATAAGATTTAATTATAATTAGCTATTCTTGACTTATACTATTATTTCTGTAAGCACAAGTGAGGACACGTCATAAAATCTACTTGCAACATGGGTGTTCTCTTACAAAAATTTAAACCTTACTTCTTGACTGTTTTTCTTTTCTCTTAAGGAAACTATCTCATCTTCCAGTCGTTTAATCTCACTTTTGAGACGTCCACGTTCTCTCTCAGCAAGGGCTTTAAAGTGGTGTTCAGTTTCAATTTCATTCTCTCTGGCTTTGTAAAGAGACTAGAGAATAATACAGTTCAGCATTTTACAATTAAAAAAAAAAAAAAAAAAGAGAGGCATATATCAACAAAAACCCCCTTTTTTACATACAACCAAATCCCAAGTCAGAGATGGTATGATTTTTGTTATGTAAATATAGGAATTTTCAGAGCAACTTTATTGTTTGGATTTTAGTATCTCAAATGTATGTTTTCATATATATATATACACACACATTGTATTGTATCTGATATCCACAGATCAACAATTTATAGCCCTAAAAACACAATTTATAGACATTTCACCTAAGATTCAGAACCTTAATCTTTCAAAATCAAAATCTGAGTCTCCTGATCGCTAGTGGCTTTACATCAGATTCAGGAGGCACAGGAAAAGAAATAAATTTATTGTTTTGTGCAGAGACAGAACACCACCAGGCTGGCCTATAGCAGTATCTCTGTATTGTCTAATCTATCTGACAAAAGTGATTTAATGGGGTTTTCTTCCTTGTATAATAACAAATCTATTACTTACTAGAAGCTTCTCTTAAACAGAGACTAGTATGTGCTGTCTCTTTCTTTATGTGCAGATTAAAACTTGACTCTAGCACAAAAAAAAAATGAAAAAGTTGTTCAGCTGCAGGGAAGTTTCTAAAGACTTTTTCACCTAGGATATTCTACCCAAAAGGTGTGCCACTTTGACTCGGGACTCTTTAGAAATCTAAACCACCCATTCTGGCCAATTAACTCAGAGCGTAAGTGAAGACTTGCGCCTTAACCATCTCACTTCATTTCTCATGTCCCTGAATTAAGGGACTTCACTAGCATTTCACAATTAACTCTTGACCATTATAAAGATTATAAATTTGTTTTTCCCTTACACTGATGATTTATTTCCTTGACCAATTTTTTTCTTATCATCTACAAAAGTCTCCATTAATAAAGAATCCTAAAATGCATCCTTCTTGGCTTTCTTCTAGGTACAGTCATTTGATCTTGGATGGTCTTGTGATGGTCCCGTAACATAGTATCACAGAGATATATAGTTTAACTTGTTTCCCGTGAAAGTACTAACCAATCTCTAACAAAGCTGGCAAAATATATAGGGATCCCAGCCACAGAAAGATACTCGGCTTACAAGTCTGAGTAGAGGTAGCGATTTACCTGAGTGAAGCTGAACTCTTGTCTTACGTTTTTCAAATGAGATGTCATTGCTTCTATACGCTCTTCAAAGTTGGTCAACTCATTTTGCAGGTTTACTTTCTCTTTTTGCATCTTCCGCAGCTATTTAAGAGTTAGAATTGTCAAGCAACCACTTTTAGCTGAGCACTTACTACCTGCAACTACTTAAAAATATAGTCATTGCTCTTACTAATCAAAAAAAAAGTAATAAGTATGCACTCAGAAGTAGCGAAGTGCGAGATTTCAGAAGAAAAGGTAGTGGCAAGAACACTTTTGCCGTTACGTACTGTTGCTCATCATCCAGATAACCAAAATGGT